GACTCTCTGAGTATGAATCCTAGTTCTTTCATTAGCTGTGTAACTTGACTGGCCATTCAACCATTCTGAACCTGTTTCTCCCTCAATAAAAGAGCAATAACAATATCTGTTTCTACTGAGTTGCATAAAGAATTAATTGAAACAAACTATTTAAGCCTTCAGAGAAGCCTAGTACAAAGTAGGGGCTTAATAAATGCCAATGTCCTTTCTTTGTTCCTTTCCCCAATCACGAATTTAGCACTAAATATAAAATTTATTATGCTAACTATGTATATTTTAAGTTTATCTTTCCTCTCTTTTAGCCAGATAGAATATCTCTGAGGAACCAAAAACATGTCTAATTCCCCTTAGCAACTCTAGTGCCTGGCAACTTCTGAGCAACCGGTAAGCTTTCAATAAAAATTTACTTCAAAAATGTGATTAATTTGAGAAATAATATAAGGAAGTGGTTCCATAGAGCAGCTTTCCTCTGTAGAATTTAAATCTCTTACTAATTAAATTTATCCTAAAAATATCCTCCGATGACAAAGGCAAAACATATTTTACACACAGAAAAACTGAAAAAGGGTCTCATGGGAGTTCCCATTAGATGTCCCCAGTTGATACTCAATATTGAACAAAAGAAAAATCTTTATAAAAGCATCAGTGAAGGAAACATCTTCTCATTGAAGTCAATGGGAATAATGAGAATACAGAGAAATAACAACAAAGAACCCAGAGATAATGCCGGCAACAAGTAATGGGCTTCCCTTTGAGGACATCTGTCGTGTGACCATGGACTGCTGTGCTTCCAAAACGGCTGGAAAATACTGACAAACTGCACAGACAGGTGTCGTCATGTTGGTGAAAACACACTTCCTGACCTTTAGAAGATTCTCTAATTTTGAAGTCAAGCAGCAGCAAATTACAGTTGATGTTCTGTTCTCAAGTGTTGCCAACTTCTACACTGTTCCTAGACAGCAGCCAGTATCACCCTCTGCCTAGAGCTAAGGGAACTCAAAACACATGAATATTGTGGCAGAAAAAATATATAACCTGCCACATTGGCATCTTGCCATTTCCCTCCAAATACAAAGTGGCCTAAAAATTCAAGTTGTTTTGAGTTGGCTATGTAAAGGTTACACATTTGGCCAGAGCACACTAGGCACTGGGTCACCTGGCTTGTTGTAAGAGCCCTACTATGATTGATTATATAACCTCAGACACTTTCTGATTCCTTCAAAAGACACTTCCTGAGCGACCACTCTGTACCAAATATTACAATAGATGATGGAGATACAGAGGCAAAAAGTAAAGTCCATGTGTTCCTGGAACTTACAGTCCAGTGTGGAGTCATAGGCAACTGGAGCACACAGGACAGTTGTTCACCAAGCTCTTTTTCCTTTCACAGTGACCATGAAGCTAGACCAAATTTCCCAGCCTCCACATAATGGTATTCTGGACAGTGGAATAAGCAGAAGGAGGTCTGCTGTATCCAGGCCTGGCCATGGAAGACCTCCCCCTTGATTATCAGCTTTATCTCTCCATTTCCTTATTTGCCAGCTGGATGCAGAGGACCCTGCAGAGGACGCTGATTTTTTAGAGGTGACGGAGCCAAAGATGGAAAGGAGCAGGAGGCCACCTGCTGAACATCTTCCTGGAAATATTATGTGAGCAAGAACGAGATTTCTATTGTGTTAATTGAGTTGTTTGTCACAACCGTTAGTCTACCCTACCAAAGCATGAACCACCTCCAAGATATTATGATACAGAGTATGCACAGGATGACATGGGATACCACAAAGAGGCGGTGCACCTGGGCTGGTGTTGGATATCGGAGAGAGCGCCCCAGAAGAAGAAACACTTAAGATGAATCCTGAAGGACAGTGTGAGATAGTGAGGAAGGGACTCGAAGGTTGCAGAGGAGAAAGTGCATGCAAAGTCATGAAACTTTGAGGAAATGGGGTACATTGGGAAAGTCTTGGTGATTCCTGAGTAGTAGAATGTGGAGTGATTTTGGGAAATGGAGGTGCTCAATACGTATTTGCTGACATGATAGAACCTAGGAGATGCAGTAACTACTAGAAAAGATGGATAAGGGAAGAAAGAAAAGTAAGCAAGGACCATCTAAATTAGAAGGCAGAAGAGATGGCATTATCTTCATGGAGGTAGAAAATTCAGGAGAAAGAGGTGAAAGAATGGGTTCAATTTTGGGTGAAAAAAAAAGAACTGAGTAGCTATGGAACATCCAAAAGAAGAATCAGCAGGTGGTTGAATGGGCTTAGAGCTGAGGCAGTGGTATGGATGGGAGAGCGGGGTTTGGGAAGGGCCACAGTCTAGGTACTGGCTGAAGCCATAAGCATGATGAGATTGTTCATAAAGAATATTCAGAGTGAGAAGCCAGAGAAATAGGGAAGGAAGAGGCAAAGAGGGAAAGAGTAGGAGCTGGAGAGACCAAGAGAGAATATGAGAAATAAGTCATAGAAAACAAAGAGAAGAGATTTTGAAAAAGCAGTCAAGAATGAGAAGTGCTTCAGAGAGGTGAACACGTAAGATGATGGCCTGAAAAATGCCCATTATATTTGACAACTAGGCAGCTGTTTGTGACCTTAACAAGCTCCATTTCAGTCCTGGGAAAAGCCAGGTTAAAATGGTCTGCAGAGTGAATAAGAGATGAAGAATTCGAGATAGGAATACAGAATACTCTCTATGGAAAATGGGCTCTAAAAAAACAGTTGGCCTGAAGTGGACAGAGAGACAGAGTTTGTTTCGTTCTGGTTTTCATTTTTTCAAGATGCAAGACTTAAGCATATTAATATGCTGAATTCTCTGAACTTTTCTTTCTCTATCTGTAAATCATGCCCCTCTGCTTGGTCCATTGGATTGCTGTCAGAACAAATAAGGTGACAAGGTGACATATGTGAAAGGTTCTAAAGTACTACGTAAAGGGAAAAGTTATTTTGTAGTTATAATTGTTGAAAATATGGAGTTACAAAAGTTAAGAGTCTACTGAAGTATGACTGGCTATAAATCAATGAAATAATTATAATCAGTCTGGATCTACAAATATTAGGAAAAATGCCTTTTAAATACATACTACCGGTTGCCAACATCAAATCTTAGAGGCTAACAACAGATTTCTAAATCCTTTGCTGGACAAAATTCTTCTAGTGCTCCTAGGTTACAGCCTGGGTTCCAGATGTCTTCATTACACCAGGAAAAAAAAATTGCTAATGAACCCTGGCAGATTGCTGTGCATTAAGTCATCTGGGAATTTATTAGTCTTATGAGTAGTAGTTCTTAAATAAATGTTTCTGGCAATCACCCAGTTTCACAAAGCAACAGACTAGCTTCATAACTGAGGTCTCATGAGCAGTGAAGTCACGGTGGATGGCCACGACTTGTTGAGTATGTTATTCTAAGGGGTGGTTGAGGTGTTCTGGGAAGTAAGCTAGCCATTCATGATTTCCCTCCTGGGAAGATTAAGCATCCAAAAGAATATGGTCCAATCATTATTTCACAAGTCACCAAACCTTTAAAGACTCTACAAAGTATATTATTACTAGCACTATGACATCAACGTAACTAGGTTTTCTCTCATAAAACTTCTAACAAGCGGTTTAGCATGCCCCATCTTCCTCCCCTGGGAAGATATCTTATTCCTGTAAAAGGAAAATGTCCCTTTCTTTTTCTCAGCACTTTTGGACAACTCCTTTCTGGGTTTCCTGTTCGCTGAAGTCTCCTCGGTTATTTTATTTTCAAGGGTATAGGGTGTTAATTAATTAAGGTTAAGAAGCTGTGTCTCCAGTGCCAGAGAGCAATTGTGCAGAACAAAGAAACCTTCCTTTACAAAAGGTATTAAAGATCTGGTCTTGAGACCCAAATGAACCCTATTTGCAAGTTTTTGCAAGTTTTTTTTTTTTTAATCTCAGAGAGACCAGTCTACAACAGTAAAATGGTGCTTCTTTTATAGGTATTTCTCAAATATTTCATCCCTGATATGTGACACTACCATACATAGCTATTAAACTAGGCCCAATGTCTTCAGGTCAATTTTCAGACCTTTTATCCACTGCAATGCCAAATTTCCTCCTAGGACTGAGGGCCAATAAAGCACTTTGCAATGTCCTCAATCAGAACTACAAAGTAAAAGAAAATACTCACGTTGCCCTCAAAACATACCACCAGATACTTATATAGACCTTTACAGATCATCAAGTAGCTTTCATCAGTTTTCTTCATTTAATCTTAAAATAATTTTGTAAATGTACTATTGTTCATCATTACCGATTAATAGAGGAGAATGGTGAGGCCCAGGGAGGTTTAAGAACATTCCCAAGGTGGCATGGGATTAACAAGCTACTGTGCATAAAATAAATACGCAACAAGAACACATTGTGTAGCACAGGGGATTATATCCATTATCTTGTAATGACTTATAATGGAGTATTATCCATAAAAATACAGTCACTTTGCTGTACATGTGAAATTAATATAATATTGTAAATCAACTATACATCAATAGAAAAGAACATCCCCAAGGCCTCACAGTTCTTCAGAAGCAGACAGGTCTATCGCCAAGGTCCTCTGCTTCCTCAACTCTCTCCACTACACCATAGATGGCCCCCAGCATGTTACCCACTTTATTTTTATTTCTCTTCTCTAGCAACAATGGAAAAAAAGCCTGGCTTCCTCTGAAGTCATTAGACATCTTTGATGAAACGCAGACGTGAATTCATGTCTCCCTCCAATGAAAATACATAAAATATATTGGTTATATAAGGAATGTTATGGGAGCATCATGGATGTGGAAAGCTTTTTAAAAGAATGCGCAAACGATGCTTGGAATCTTGGAAAGGCCAGAGAAGATATTACAAACAAATGACCAAATGCGGAATGCGGGGAACATTCCATGAACAATCAGTATTTTCATTTGACTGGTTTGTTTTTATTCATAAGGGCTTCTCTTTCATGGAAGATGCTGCTTTTGGAAAGCATTTCAAAAGAACATAATGACTAACCTGTAGATGGAGAAGGAAGCCACTGATCGAATGAGGGATGCCAAAGCCCCCACTTTGGCAGCTTCCACAGCCCCCTGGACACGATACTGCACAGTCCTCGAGTAGTTGGTATAAGGTTGATTATAAACGACGATCTTCCCTCTTGCTTCTGGGGCCCTTCTCTGCAGTTCATCGAAAGAGGTCACCACCAGAACTTCCGCTGTAATGCCTGGAAATAAAAGTCATACAAGATTAACGTATGGTTTCCGATTGGCCAGGGTGACCTGACACACAAAAGGTCGCACATGCTCTATCCACTACATCTGGCAAACTGGTTTGCAGGGATCAAAGTTTCAGAGCCATCTGCCATGGGAGAAAGATTGTAGGGGTTAGCTAGTTTCCCAAGAAAGAGAAAAGGCATTCAAAATAACATAACCTACAACTCATAAGGTTTTTCAACTCACTTGACCAGCTGGTATTAAATCACAAATTGCTTGAAACGGTGTCTTTTTTTTTTCCTTTTTGCTTCTTTTCCACCCTAAGAAGTTATGAGTTTCACAGAATGACACTAATTATTTCTTTTAAAAATGCATTTTAGAAAGCTTCCCCTGGGATCAGTGAAAAATATATTTATCTTTTCATAAAACTATTTTCATCTGTCGCTAAAATACCTCCGTTGACATCGTACGAAGAGTAACAGTTTATGAAGAATGTTCTTAGACGCCAATGATGTTCGTAATCCAACTTGTAACAAATGGTTGATGTAACCTCTCCCAAGAGCCAAAAAAGTCAGCTTGTTTTCTTTCTTCCTTTGTACCACTTTTGAAGAATGTGGAAACTTCCCAAGCTTCTGGATTTACAGTACTTGTTCATCACTGAACACAGAACTAGTCTTCAGATTAAAATTTTAAAGATGTTGTATAATTGCCCTACAACCCTGTTGTCTCATGTAGAAAGATGGCCATCTTTCCTCCTGCCACAAGACTCGCCCAGATCGTCCTGATCAGGGGACAGGGTTTCACAGCTTCCAAGAAGTCATTCAAAAACTGCCAAACCACTGAAGATTCAATTTGATGGAGCAGTTAGAGGGACAAGAAAAAATATTTAGCAGCAAAGACCAGATGCAGCAGCTAAATATTACCACCTAAAAGAAAGCGGCACACACCTACTGTTCTGTGGCTTTAGCCACACAGTCATGAAACACATCAGTGAAAACTGAAGTATAAACATATATTTCACATACTTTTTAATCTGGCAAACTAGAGAACTGGGTTCTTTGGAAGCTTAACAGACGTCATTAAGATAGTAATTGTTACTTGGAAAATCCTTTTAAAATGCACTGTAGGTAGGAGAGAATTCTTGTTTTCAATTTGGACCCCATCATAATGAACCCTTTGGGCGGGGTCCTCTCCGACTTCTGGTTCCACCGTCTGGACTGAATTTGTGCTTTTACTTTAAAGTGACTGATAACCGATCTATAAGCATGTCTCCGCCAACATTCAGAACTCAGAATTTAATTTATAATCTAAAAAGAGCAATGTACAATCATGGAAAGTAAGGAAGCCACTAGCTTTCTCACATGATAAATATGTGTAAAAATACAAATAAGGGTTCAGCTAGACAGATTTTGAGATTCATAGCTTTCTGAAACCTGGAGTTACCTTGAAATTTGACTGGCGTTATTGCTGGCATAGCACAGGAATTTTGTTGATGGTTTTCAGCTGTTCCTAATGAATAACAGATTCAATGGTCCACCCAGGGGATATCCCAGCAATGGGGTAATTTTGGCATCTGGATTGGAGCCACTAGAAATGAAGCCAAATTTCTATAAGTTTTCATAGGCCACTGCAAAATTAAAGTCATACAAGGGTAATGCTTCACCATGGTCTGTGGTTCAAGTTCTCTTAACAAATGCCAGTGATGAAGTCCTAAAGAGCCAGAACCTAACCTGTACACCACAGTTGCCAATGCAAAACGCTAGCAGCAGCTAGAGGCCAAAGCCTATCACGACGAGCTTGCAAGAAGAGTTCAAATTAATCTGTTTTCCTGAAAACTCAAGAGTCATCGCTGATTCCTCTGGAACAGAACAACCTGTGAACAACCTGAACTGCTGAAAAGTCAGATCAGCCTATGTCACCATCCCCCTGCCCCTCTTCCTCCTCGGCTGATAATCCATCACTTCAACATACCATTCAAAGCCTGTCTAGCTCTACGGACACAGGCTCCCTTTTAAGTTCTATCGGTACTAAACTTACAGGTTCCCACTCCTGCCATGCTGGTTCACTCCTCAGTATCTTTGTTCACACTATGGTATATCATGTCCTAATGACCCCATTTCCCCAACTTCGTCATGTGACACCTATTCACCCCTTAGGATGCCATTTAAGAAGTACTCCCAGGCCTCTGGTCTCAACCCCCTCCCCCCACCTCCAGGAAGGCTGTTCATGCACCACTCTCCTCTGCACTTTCAAAGTGTCCTAGGCATACCTGGGCACTAGACAATAAAACTGCCTGTTTATGACTCTCTCTCCCACCTCAGGGTCTGTGGCCATGTTCACTTTTTTTTGGAACAATACCCAATCCTGGGCCTGACACTGTACTCGGTGTATGTGTAGGCAGCCAGTCAATACACAACCCTTGAATGGCATGGCTCCAAATAAGGAGGGTCTAAAGCATTCCCATAAAAGTGCAATTTTACCTTTAAAGTTTGATAGCACTTCTCCCACAATAACTCAGCAGTCTGACTCTCTGGCCACCCAGAGCACAGCTGAACAACAATAACCAAGCAAAAAAAGGCAGTCAGAAACGAAATACAAATCCCAAGTAAGAAAACTCAGGTACTTGAACATGAGAAAAGCTCTTCTGTTCTTACAGCCTAGTTACCCTTTCTTTATATAAAATTCTGAATCTAGCACTTAAACCTATGAACTATGAGAAACAACAAATCAAAAAGAAGAGGTAGGTTTGGAATTTAACTTTAAATAGCTATATGTATGTAGTGGCTATCATGCAGAACTCACAATCACTGCAGGCTCAGCCAATTATACAGGCAAATAGCCCAGAGCATCTCTGCGGGCTGGGGGCCTTGCTTCAAGACAGTTCAGTAACAGACGTGGTGGTCATGGTGAGAACCTGCTGCAGCAGCCACCAACCAGGTGGACTGTATTCAGTATCCATTGTTTGGGAAGGCAGGGTGTGTACAAAATATTTAAAAAAGAGTTTTGCTCAAACTGAATACAATAAAATCAGGCCATCTGGAAGACCTCATTCTTCCATATAAGTCTGTGTTTTGATACATGTTACACAATCGACATGCTTCTGCTCTCCTGCAACTCAGCAGGCTCCTCTTCTTTTCTGTCCTCTCATCTCCTTTCTTCCCATGCTCCCATTCTAAATGCTAGTCCATGAGAATTCCAAAGAACACAAATCCAGTGTCATAGACCCTGACCTGCCTGTTGATAATTGTAACCCACTCCCAATCACCATCCCTCTTTTCTTGCTTAATTTTTCCATAGCATTTATCAGCTTCTAGCTGCATCCACTATAGTAATGTAATCTCCAAGGAGGGTAGAAATTCTTGTCTGTTTTATTTATTAATGTTACCAAAGTGCCTGAAATAGTGCCTGACATGTAAGATGTGAAATTCACTCACACACACTCATAAGTACAAATACACACATGCACACATGCATATACTAAATGAATAAAAAGAAACCCCCAAAATAAAAGTATAATAATCCCCCATCCCTGATCACTCTCCAAAAGGCGTACTTCCAAGGAACTTGTGTATTTCTGTAGGTCAGCGTAATTGATGATAATAATATCTGTATTTGGGTAGCTTTTGTTTATACTGATGTTCACAGCAACTCTGCAAAGTAGTTATTAGGAGGACACTGAAGAGCACAGAAATACGTTTATACAACTACTGGGCGTTAAAACTGAGAGTTTGAATGTATGTATATTCGTGTGTGACTGAAGCATTGGGCTGTACACTAGAATTGACACAACATTGTAAACTGATTGTACCTTAATAAAAACATAAACAAATGAAACTGAGAGTTGACTCCTTGGGTGTCTGAATCCAGGGGTCATGCCCCTCCTATTAACTGCATTGTTATCTTTTTCATAAATGTAAAATACATTAGAAAGAAAAGCTCAATATTTTCTTTTCAAGAGGAATAAGAAGGAAAAAATAAAGAAGTATATAAAAGCCTGCCTGAATTATCAGTTACTTCTTAGTCTACCCAGGATCTTGCTCATCAGTCAGAGCGCTGTTATCACACTAGGTCCCAATCTATTAGTGAGGGAGTTGAGGGGGGTGCTTCACTCTAGGACAAGAGTCATTAGACTCTGTTACAGTAATGAAAAGGATTATAGTAGTTGATTCTGAAGAAAATGTAAGACTGAAGCTAAAAATACTCATAAAGCGACTCTCTTGGCTATAGCTGATTATATCACAAAAATAGTATAAAAATCCTCAGGTTCTTTCTTACTCTCGACACCTAATTTTCAAAATCGATCAATTTATTTTTTAAATGGCTTTTCCTGTACATAATTACTGCTGCGGTCTTCTTGCATAGACAACAGATGCTGACTGCTGTGGTGTTGGCTCAGATCATTTATTCCATGCAGAATTTGAGACTCTGATCTCACAGTCTCTTCTGACCCGATTCCTCCCAAGAACAGTTAAGAATAGGAAGACAGTGAAGTGAGAATTTCATAATGTTTTCTACTATTAAAAGGAAAAGACTACAGACATAAAAACATGTCTCTGGGGCTCAATTCAATGTCGTATGTCTTAGGAAATTGATTCTGATTTCAGAAGACTTAACCCCCCCTTCCAACAGGAATATTCCAGCCCCACCCAAGAGAAAGCCTAGCGTCTTAACTCTTGTCACATAATCTTATACCAAGTGCATTATACAAAATAACTAGGTCCAGTGGAATGGCTGGTTTTCCCTGCACTCAGTTATGCAGAAGGGATAAGAGTTGTTCCCAGAAACTCAGTGTTTTGGTCTGAAGCGGTAAGGAAATTGCAAATTCATGGCAAGGCAGATAAAAGAGACTCAGACAGTCCTTTCTGAGCGTCCATCTGTTTATGGAGATTATTATGATTGTGCAACATCCTTTTCATGGAAGAACAAGCCTTAAAGATTCAAATTTATTCAACAAATTTACAGCCTTCTGACTGGGCGGGCTTTGTGCTGAGAATTGGGCACAATACAAATC